TATCAGCAATATGACATTATCATTATGCAGAGAAGTAGGTTTTATTTTTTTAGGCGAAAGCCGTGCGTAGGGCTAAAAAATATCCATATCTGTTTATGAAATGAGTACAGATTTAAATTTTTCCAGTGCCATACCACTGATGTTATATGTATATTGAAGATATTAGTTCATAGGTTCATATGAAGTTTAGTTCATAACATGGACCCACAAATCGCCCCCTCAAATATTGACATTCAATTAGGTATCACCATGTGGTATCTTAATATGTTGTTGAGTTACAATGTTACAAGTACACCAATATTCACCATTGGCAACATGTAACTTTGCCATTTTGCTATTTCGAAGGATAATAACTTTCCATCCTAGGGTTATAGATAACTAATAAGGAGCTTCGAAGTGAGCTATGACATGACTCCCTTTCCATTTAAAATTCCAAGGTGGTGCACAGTCGCTATTTTAAAATATCCAAATTTCGCTTTTTAAGTTAAAGTGCCTCAATTTCATCATTCCGAATTTCGGCAAACTAATTTTCCTCTATAAAAAATCAATAGGTGGATGGGATGCAACGCTCTGTATATGCCAAGCCAAGGCTATTTGTAGATACAAAGGGAGTACACACCTTACTGCATCAGCTCTTGCTGTTTTCATACCACTAGCTGTAATACCCGTCCTCAAACTTAATCTACATACATGTATGATGTAAAATGATTCTTCTAATTTAAAGTTGGCCTTTGAAGCTCAAACCCTACTTCCTTTAATATGCAAATAGGAAACTAACACGCACGTAATCATATAATCTAGATACGTCGTGAAAAGCTCGTGTAAAGTTTCAAAGCATTCCAACTACCCGGTGAGGATGTCGATTTTTATCTTCACATCTTATAACGACATCACTAAGAACTTCCTATCTCAGCAGCTGGTGCGATTGACGACTTTCTGCCAAAAACGAATATGAAGCTATGTTTCACACCACCAAGTTATCGGAAACCACTGATCAAGAGAAACACCAAAACATATCAAAAGATTGTCAAGGGGGACAACTTTTAACTAAAAACTAGTCACATTCGGTCTTTTGAAGTCCTTTATTTTAACGTTTGATTTTTCAAGACCAGTCGATTCGTTTTTGAGAAATTAGAAAATCTTTATTGTCGTAATTTTCAGATAGGAAACAAAAAACGGACTATATCCACTTTTTAATTCACTAAAAGTTCAAAATGTTGCCCGTAAGAGTTGGCCAATCTACAATTCGTTTATAATTTACAACAGACACTACCAACATAAACACCAATTCGGAAGATTCGACGTGGGTAACAACCAAATAACAACCCGAATTTGTTTCCGCATTCTTTTCATCAACACAGATATCCTGGCGAGCTGTATTTATTGTTA